CAGGGTATCTCCTAGTCGAGCAGTCTCGACTAGAGTCTTCTTACTTGTTTTATATATTTGATTATTGCAGTGAAATATTTTTATTACTCGTGTCTTCATTTGTTGCTCCTTCGAACCCTGATAGGCTGCCTGTGGACTTACCATGGTTTTGTTTTGGCTCTTGGCCATAAGAACAGACCACGAGACGAGCCCCCAGGGAGTTAAGTCATCGCATTCGATTGCCTCCCTCACAAATAAGAGCAGCAGCTTATGTGGCTGATTACTTTTTGGAGGCCCTTTCACTCAAGTCTGCCGTTAATGCTGCTTGAGAATGAGTTTGATATTTAATGGAGTCCATCTACGTGTTACATTATTTGTTTTTTTTTTTTTTCCTGCATTTAATCAATAGTCCTATTTTATTACATTTAAATTGGTATACCAACAGGGGCTTTTGCTAGAGTGTGCTCTCGTGTCCTTGCTTCTTGTCTCTCTATCTCTCTTTTCCACTCAGTCCACTTTTGGTATTTTATTCATAATTATATTTTTTTAATCCATTCAGCTTATTTTTAAGGGCTTACGCGCGGCACATTCAAGCCAACCCAATTTAAATTTTGGTCTAGTCTGTCGCCTGTCCGCGTCATCGTGCTCGTCCTTGCGCGAGTGGGGCTGCGGTGCTGGCAGTGAAACTTATTTCGTTGCCTGTCAAGCTTTTAATGATAAAGTGTTCCCTTTTAATCCTGCCGCATGCCTGCCTGCCTGCGAAACGGGCCAGCACTCTGGCAAGCTGGCAAATGGACAGAGAGCGGGTCTAACAGGTCGTAAAAGGTGTTTTGGGGCAAAGCTGAGTCTCACCATTTCTGACAACGTTTTCTAGTTGGCGACACGCGCGACACACCAGTTGCCGGCTTAAAACTATTAAAAGCTCGTGCCAAGTGGCTGCTGCCATCAGCCTTTTCGCAATGCCAACAAAAATATTTTAGCGCTGCCTCAGCGCTGGCCCAAATTCTGTTCTTCTGTTTCGCATTTCGCTGGGAGTATCGAGTGGCGTTTGTGCTCTATCGGCACCTGGATATGAACTGCATTTCCTTTAACTCAGTCTCAATTGTTATTTATGACAGTCGTGTGCAGCGAATGGTAATGCATGCGTTGCGCTATGACACACGTACGTCAGGCCAGTTGGACTCTCAATAAATAACCCAGCATTCGCCCACGTGGCCCAAACTGTCCCGGAGTGAAGTGCTGTGGCTCTGAAATGCAATTTTGTTGCTCACGTGACACTGGCCAAGGTCTGGCCGCAACTGTGACTACGAGTTTCCTGTCCTCTTAACTTTGAATGGCACTGACAAATTGTTATGACCTTGGGTAAGTATGAATATCATTGATAGGAGAATTAAATTTATGCTTGCATAATAATTTATCTGCAGGCAGTGAGCGCAAAGTTGCAAGCCCTTGTCGAAACATGATATCATAAACATTTATATTTATTAGATGTTAGAGTTAATATAAAATTAAAACTAACTTTAACTTAAGCACTTGCAAAGGGGGTGGCTGGCTTAAAACATAAAAAATGATCACAACAAGTTGAAGCTAATTATAGGTCTGTCTTTAAACAGTCTAGAGTCTATAATTAGTAAAATTAACGCAAACTTAAATTTAACTTTAATGTTTTTATTTTAAAAAATATTTAAGCTTCAAAAATATCTAACTGGATTTAATGGGTATCAATTTTACACATTATTGCGCATATTTTCCAGTCATATATTTATTTAAAAAATATGATAATTATGTAAAAATCTCTTCGAGGATCAAATACCCGAAGATGGCATATATGACTGCGGAATCTTGTAAAAATATGTCTAAGGAATTTCACTTTAGTTCGATTTGCGGCTTGTAGGATTAAGTAACTTCGTGCCGTAATAGCTTTGCATTACTACTTTAAAAGCCATATGACCTTTGACCGCTAACTGTTCATAGAAGATTCGATTGGAGTGGCAGACAACCCCGTTATCCTCGTTCTGCGCACATGATAACTCAATTTGCTGCATATAGTAATTTAAAGGGCACAATTAGAGCACATGTTTAACATGCTCTCACGAGTGCTGCAGCTGGCCCATAAATGTTATGGTTGGTTTCCGGCGCTGCAAGCGACGACGCATGTAGTCAGATTTTCCGGGCAGCCATCTATGTCCACTAAACACTAAACACGACCACAGAATGGCCCAGCGACTGGAGTCGCTTTTAATTAATGGCCCGGCATATTCATGGCGCATAAATTTACGCTCCAAAATTCAGGCAGAACTCAACCCTAATCAAGCTCTCAGTAAATGGACGCAAAGGCCGCTAAATAATAACGCTTTGCTTTTTCCTTTGCAAGCGAATTCGTAAATGAAAGCGCGGGTCTAAAACTGAAAAAAAAAATGAAGGAGAAAGAATTTATTCTTCCCCACCAACAGCAGAGCAAATAAATTAATTTAGAAATTTTATTTATATGAAAGGGAAAGGACTTTGGATGTTCAACAATTTGTATCTGGCTGATGATGAATGTTGGGCATTAACAGAGCTTAACATTTTAATATTAACGAAAATCAATTGAGCTCTCATATAAAGAGAACGCTTTCAAAGTTTTAAATTGACGTTAATACTATGTAATTAAATT